AACGAACCCGTGTCCCCTGCATCGGCAGGCGGACTCTCAACCACTGCGCCACCAGGGAAACCCCTCTGTTCACTTTTTAAATGGTCGTTTGTGTCTTGTCTTTCTTTGTAATCAGCTCCGGATTCTTGAGATTGGGGCTTCGTTGTGGGTCAGGTTTACGGTATTTTCTCTGGGATAGTGTGTAACGACTGCATTGGTAGAAACCTTAGTGTAAATTTTAGATTCTGCATGACGCGTATTGCTGTCGACCCTGCCGAGTACGGTATCCTCGTCCTCACTCGCAGCTAATGTTTGAATTCTTAATCTGTATCGATCACAACAAATCTCTGAAGTAGGTAATATTGTCTTCACTTATCGGATAATGAAACAGAGGCTCCAGAGGTTAATTTTTGTCCCGGCTCCTTTACCTCTGGGCCAGAAAGTTAAACCCAGTTTTGTCTCTCCAGATCTTGGCCTCACTCCTTCTTGTGTATGAGTAAGTTAACACTTGATTAGTAGAGTACACATGCAGAAAATGCAGATGCACACCTTTGCTTAATTAAAGTTAGAGGTTGTGTTTTACTTTCTACCACTCAGACCGGTAAAAGGGATCGGGGAAATGCTCACAGATTTTGATGAGGCATCTTACTGTTATTTTTTTCAGTAATAAGTTTTCGTTTTAGTACATGGAAATCTGAGACCAATCCTCTTTTATGATCTGATGAAAAGATTTATGGTACAGTGTTAAAAGTGTGGGCGTTTAGGGAGTTCCCTGGTGGTCCAGTGGTTAGGACTCAGCGCTTTCACTGCTGTGGCCCGGGTTCAATCCTTGGTCGGCAACTAAGATCCCACAAACGCCTGGCCAAAAAAAAAGGGGGCGTTTGGAATCAAATCTGTTCCTGACATAGTGATTTTGGACAAATCAGGTATCTTTTCCAAGCCTTCCTTTTCCCAGTTTCTATTATGTTATCTTCAAAAATGTTCAGCAGCTCTTTGTTACCACCAAGATTCTTACTCTTTAGTTTTGAATTCGGACGTCTGTTTGACTCAAAATAGTCGTAAACAATGATTGGTTGAGTGTCTTACTATGTGCCAGGAGCTTTTGTAGACATTGGCAATTCAGCTATGAATAATAATAGGTGGTCCTACCCTCAGAGCGCTTACATACTGCACAGAATTTAATAATGGCTGCCATTTATTAAGTCCTTTCTGTGTGTCAAGACTCTGCCAAGCTTGTACATACATTATATTTGATCATACCAGTCAGATGCTTTCTGTGTCTTATAGATGAAGAAAATAAAGCTCAGGAAATTTGTTACATGCTGAAGGCCACAAACCTTTTACATTTGCAAGCTGCAGTTTTAGGCCTTTGCAGTACACCTGGCTGCCTCCTAGTACAGTTGGATAGGAACCTTTCCACCTAAGTAAGGATGTACAGTATAATCAATGACAGACTTCCACTTTACCAACTAATTTCAGCCTGTCTTTCACTTTTCTCTGTATGAACAAGACAGACTGGTTTATTACTCTCCAGAACGTGATTTGTGCAGTACATACTTGATGATTTTTAAAAGTTGTCCTTTCTTTCTGATTTCTGTCTATCCTCTGTGACAGCCCAGGTCAGAATTTTGTGATGAAACCTATTGTGATCTCCCTGGCTTAGACTCTTCTCCCTCTGAGCATCCATTTTCCTTACTGTTGAGTCCACTACTGTATATTATTAACCATCATACAGAATATAAGCAGTTTGCATGCAGTGTCTTTACATTTAATTCCTGTTGGCTTAATCTTCTATCCTAACTTTGTTTCTTGCCCAAAGTAAGTTTTTAATAAATTTCTGTTGATTGATGATCTGTCGGAGTAGAGCACAACTCAAGTGTGTATAATTTGCTTGACTGACTTGGCTGCTGGATGAAGATATCGGATGTAGTATATAGGCCCAGACCATGATTGTGGCAGTTGATGCTATCACCAACGATTTACACCTGTTTTTATTTAACTTGTAGCTTTGTTTCAAAAAATTATACATGCTTTCAAATGATACCAAATGGTCATAGTTATTCAAATAATATATTTAATGCTACCACAATGGAAAGTCTATTACTCCAGTCATTCCACAATTTTTTTAAAATGTTGGAGCATGAGAAGACAATTATATATGTAAGCACAATTTGATTTAAAGCATTCCTCTTGTAAAACATTGTATTCTAATTTACACCTTGGTAGAAAACCTCATTGGTTCATTCACATATTTATAAGCATGTACTATAAGTCAGATGTTATAGTAGCTGCTGAACATACAGATATCAACAGGACAGAGTTCTTCGCCTCAGTGAGCTAACATTTCAGTGGGGGAGAAGTAAACAAAAGTAAACTGATAAAGTAATTGAATTGTACAAATAAAAAATTGGAAGTTGTGATAGCGACTGTGAAACAAATAAACAAAAGTAAAACAAAAAGGGTGTATTAAGTGCTATGATCGGAATGAGGAAATGAGGAGGTAAAAATAATAGAAAGGAGGCTACCTATTCTGTATATAGTGTTCATGGAAGGACCCTCAGAAGAAATGTACTCATCTGAGATTTGAAGAGAGTCGAGTCAGTCTTGGGAAGAAGGTTAGAAAGCATTCCACCTATGGGAATAAATGTGTTTTCTGACTAAAGAGAATAAGGGTCAGGAAGATTTTATGGAAGAGTTAAAATATCAGGAACAGTTGATATATTGGAAGAGAGTTTTCATTGGGGAAACCTTAGGAGAGTCATGAAGTGGGTAGTCTAAAGAGGCAGTGGTAATTGTTTAAGATCAAGGCTGGGGACTTGCAGCTCTAATATTGTAGTGTGCCTTCTCACCTTTCTTGAGCTAAGGGATTATTTAATGCAGATTTCCTCATACCCTTCGTGTGCTTAAAAATATTAAGTGGTTCCTCATGGCCTGTAAATTGCATTCTATACTTCTTGGTTTGGCTTTTAAAGTTTTCCATGAATTGATCCCACACTATGTAGCCAGGCCTATTTCAACTAGTGATTTGTTTACATTTGTTGTATTTTGCAAAATTTCCTGAACTGCCAACCCGAATTTGCATCACTATTTTTCACGTTTTTCTAAAGTTTAGTATTGTACCTATAATCATTATAAAGACTTGGCTTGAGTAAAACTGAAAATGTATTTATTACGGCATGGAATAAATAAGGTACAATACGTGAGCTGATGGATGCAGAGTGTTTAACATAGTGCATATCACACTATAAACACTATGTTAGCTGCTTTTTTTGTTGTTTTGCTACTGCTGCTAAATTGTGTTTTATTATTTGCTTTAAAAGTAGAGGATTGGCTCAAGTTAATTGTTTTAATTTCAAAATAACTGAAAGCATAAAATACTTTTCAGCTGGCAAAATCATTCTTAATTAACATGGTTTTGCTCCAAGGTGTTTTCTGTTTTTCCTGCAAGGTAATTCGTCCATTTGCCTGCTGCAGTAGTTACAGGTTTGTTTGTTTGTTTTTTAATACTTGATGTATTAAATGCTGCTACAAATGACTAGGAACGCTATTCAGTACACTGTCATCTAATTTTTGGTTTTTGCCTTTTCTCAGTTGGGAGCTGAAAGTGCTGACAGTATTGGTGCTGTGTTAAATAGCAAAGATGAGCAGAGAGAAATTGCTGAAACAAGAGAAACTTGCAGGTCAGTTGAATATTTTTTTAGTGACATGTTAGTATTTGTGAAACGATCACTGTTTTAATAAAAAATAATCCTAGGTATGAAGTGTGTTGTTATAAGCATCAGCATACAGATTTAGGAAACATTGGTTTTTATTGTTCATGAATTATTAAATACTTATTATCTGAATACAGTAAGTTTTCATTTATAAAGTAGTTAGAAAATGGAATGTTAGGCTAGGAATTAGCTTATATACCATATATAATTTTATTTTAAAAATCCTTATTAAAAAAAACACACTTTGCCCTAAAAGTGGTATTGATTTGATAGTTCATAAAGCATTTAGAATTTTTCAGTATTGTAGTTATCAATTTTTTTTTATTGGAGTATAATTACTTTACAATGTTGTGTTAATTTCTGCTGTACAGTGAAGTGAATCAGCTATATGTATACATGTATCCCCTCCTTCTTGGACCTCCCTCCCACCCACTGCTATCTCACCCATCTAGGTCATCACAGAGCACCAAGCTGATCTCCCTGTGCTATACAGCAGGTTCCCACTAGCTATTTTACACATGGTAGTGAATATATGTCAGTCCTAATCTCCCAGTTCATCCCACCCTCCCCTTCCCTCTGCCCCCTGTGTCTACTCATCTGTTCTCTACTTCTTTGTCTCTATTCCTGCCCTGCAAATAGGTTCATCTGTACCATTTTCTAGATTTCACATATATGTGTTAATATATGATATTTGTTTTTCTCTTTCTGACTTACTTCACTCTGTGTGACAGACTCTAAGTTGATCCACATCTCTGCAAGTGACCCAGTTTTGTTCCTTTTTATGGCTGAGTAATATTCCATTGTATACGTGTACCACATCTTCTTTATCCATTCCTCTGTCGTTGGACATTTAGGTTGCTTCCATGTCCTGGCTATTGTAAATAGTGCTGTAATGAACATTGGGGTACATGTGTCTTTTTGAATTATGGTTTTCTCAGGGGATATGCCCAGTAGTGGGATTGCTGGGTCATATGGTAGTTCTATTTTTCGTTTTTTAATGAATGTCCATACTGTTCTCCATAGTGGCTGTATCAAATTACATTCCTACCAACAGTGCCAGAGGGTTCCCTTTTCTCCACACCCTCTCTAGCATTTACTGTTCATAGATTTTTTTGATGGTGACCTTTCTGACTGGTGTGAGGTGATACCTCATTGTCGTTTTGATTTGCATTTCTTTAATACTTAGTGATGTTGAGCATCTTTTCATGTGCCTCTTGGCCACCTGTATGTGTTCTTTGGTGAAATGTCTATTTAGGTCTTCCAGCCATTTTTCGATTGGGTTATCTGTTTTTTGATATTGAGCTGCATGAGCTGTTTGTATATTTCGGAGATTAATCCTTTGTCAGTTGCTTCATTTGCAAATATTTTCTCCCATTCTGAGCGTTGTCTTTTCATCTTGTTTATGGTTTCCTTTGCTGTGCAAAAGCTTTAAAGTTTCATTAGGTCCCATATGTTTGTTTTTATTTTTATTATCCTAGGAGGTGGGTCAAAAAAGATCTTGCTGTGATTTATGTCAAAGAGTGTTTTTCCTACATTTTCCTCCAGGAGTTTTTTGGTGTCCAGTCTTACATTTAGGTCTTTAATCCATTTTGAGTTTATTTTTGTATGTGGTGTTAGGTAGTGTTCTGATTTCATTCTTTCATATGTAGCTGTCCAGTTTTCCCAGCACCACTTAGTGAAGAGGCTGACTTTTCTCCATTGTATATTCTTGCTTCCTTTATCAAAGATAAGGTGACCATAGGTGTGTGGGTTTATCTCTGGGCTTTATATCCTGTTCCACTGATCTATATTTCTTTTTTTGTGCCAGTACCATACTGTCTTGATTACTGTAGCTTTGTAGTATAGTCTGAAGTTGGGAGCCTGGTTCCTCCAGCTCTGTTTTTCTTTTTCAATATTGCTTTGGCTATATGGCACCTTTTCTGTTTCCATATAAATTGTAAAATTCTTTGTTCTGATTCTGTGAAAAATGCCTTTAGTAATTTGATAGGGATTGCATTGAATCTGTAGATTGCTTTGGGCAATATAGTCATTTTCACAATATTGATTCTTCAGATCCAAGAACATGGTATATCTCTCCATCTGTTAGTGTCATAGTTGATTTCTTTCATCAGTGTTTTATAGTTTTCTGAGTACAGGTCTTTTGCCTCATTAGGTAGGTTTATTCCTAGGTATTTTATTCTTTTTGTTGCATTGGTAAATGGGATTGTTTCCTTAATTTATTTTTCTTATCTCCTGTAGTTAGTGTATAGGAATGCAAGAGGTTTCTGTGCATTAATTTGGTATCCTGTACCAAATTCATTGATTAGCTCTAGTAGTTTTCTGGTGGCATCTGTAGGATTTTTCTGTGTATATCATGTCATCTGCAAGCAGCAATGGTTTTACTTCTTCTTTTCCAATTTGTATTCCTTTTTTTAAAAAAATATTTATTTTTCACTGTGTTGGGTCTTCGTTGCTGTGCACAGGCTTTCTCTAGTTGCAGCGAGCAGGGGCTACTCCTCATTGCGGTGCGTGGGCTTCTCATTGCGGTGGCTTCTCTTGTTGTGGAGTGTGGGCTCTAGGCATATGGGCTTCATTAGTTGTGGCTTGTGGGCTCTAGAGCGCAGGCTCAGTAGTTGTGGCACATGGGCTTAGTTGCTCCACGGCGTGTGGGATCTTCCCGGCCCAGGACTCGAACGCGTGTCCCCTGTATTGGCAGGTGGATTCTTAACCACTGTGCCACCAGGGAAGTCCCTCCAATTTGTATTCCTTTTATTTCTTTTTCTTTTCTGATTGCTGTGGCTAGGACTTCCAAAACTATGTTGAATAATAGTGGTGAGAGTGGACATCCTTGTCTTGTTCCTGATATTAGAGGAAATGCTTTCAGTTTTTCACCATTAAGAATGATGTTTGCTGTGGGTTTGTCATATATGTCCTTTATTATGTTGAGGTAGGTTCCCTATATGCTCATTTTCTGGAGAGTTTTTATCTTAAATGGGTGTTAATTTTGTCAAATTTTTGTCGAATTTTTTCTGCATCTATTGAGATGATCATATGGTTTTTATTCTTTAATTTGTTGATATGGTGTATCACATTGATTGATTAGCATATATTGAAGAATCCTTGCATTCCTGGGATAAATCCCACTTGATCATGGTTTATGATCCTTTTAATAGAGATTAATAGAGTTTGGAAGTCTTCCTCCCTCTGCAGTTTTTTGGAAGATTTTGAGAAGGATAGGTGTTAGCTTGTCTCTAAATGTTTGATAGAATTCACCTGTGAAGTCCTCTGTTCCTGGACTTTTGTTTGATGGAAGATTTTTAATTACAGTTTCAATTTTATTACTTGTGATTGGTCTGTTTATATTTTGTTTCTTCCTGGTTCAGTCTGGGAATTTTTTACCTTTCTAAAAATTTGTCCATTTCTTCCAGGTTGTCCATTTTATTGGCATATAGTTGCTTGTAGTAGTCTTTTATGATCCTTTATAGAACATCAGTTTTGCTCAAGACACATTAGAATGATACATAATGTAGAAGTTTCTTTTTGCCATGCATACCTTATAAAAGCTTAGTTTCTTATTTGTTTGCTTTCTCAAAAAAAAGTACAGATTATTCATCAGGTTGTGTTACTTTTAAGATTTATAAACTGGGTGAATAGATACTGTTTAGTCAGGAAAAATTTGCCTTGTTCTGTTTTTAGAACTGGTTCTTTAATATTATTAATGGATACATTTATACATCTTGTATATATTTGTGAGTGGTATTTCAGTTTTAATTTTCAGGGCTTCCTATGATACCTCTGCTCCAAATGCAAAACGTAAGTATCAGGATGAAGGAGAGACAGATGAAGACAAAATGGAAGAATATAAGGCAAGTAGATAATGGGACAATTTTATGGTCAAGAAGAAAATAAGTCCTTACAATCCGTAGAGTCTTACCCAGGAAAACAAAATTTGACAGAAGCTGAATTTTGACAGAATACTGATTAATTATTGGTAGTGTGTATGTAATTAGGTAAATTTAAGGCATTTATATCAGTTTAACACAAGAGGTATGTGGATTAAATTAGGTGATGTATGTGAAGCACTTAGCATAATGCCTAGTAAGCACTAGGTGATAGCATTCTTAAGAGTAAGGAGGTAGATGTATCAGAAACTTTGGATAATTCAGTAATATTTCGAGAGGCTACAGTACTGTCTTCTTTGAGTTGCATTTATTCCATGTTAAGAATATAGGGTAGTACAATTAAAATATTTTGAGAACTCATGGACTAGACAGCAGTGTAGAACCATTTCTGACAGAGGCCCAAGGCAAAAACCCAGCTTCTCAACTTGTAATTACAATATGTAGTTGAAAAGAAAGTAAGTTAAGGACAAAAAAACCTACCTCCATTTTTTTCAAATTAATTGTCCTACAACTATATTCAATAGAGAAGAGAATAAATAGTTTCAGTAAATCTTTAGGTATAATTATCTAATTTCATAGGTATTCTCTTGTGTATTGGTTGCATTTGATATATCCTCTTATATAACTTAACTCTTTGTGATTATATTAGGTCAAACCATATACAGTTTCTGATATTTTAACATTTTTGACTTATAAAATAGCAGTTTCATATGGTTTGATCTAGTAGAAATAAAATTGCCCCATTGGTGGTCATATCTTTCATGATTTGAGCTAAATTCTAATATTTAAGATATTATATCAGAGATAAATAATCCTAGATAACTTAGTCAACAAAATTAGTAGTTATAGATAATTATTACTGATGAGAATGAAAAAGAAATATTTATTTTGTATATTATAAGCATAACTAGTTACAGCTAATGATGAGAAAGCAAAAACTTCAAGTTTTTTTTAGATTAAAAAATTTTTTTTAAATTTGTATGTTATTTATTTATTTATTTGGCTGCATTGGGCCTTAGTTGTGGCATGTGGGCTCTTCATTGCCACCCGTGGGCTTCTCTCTAGCTGTCGGACGCGTGCGCAGGCTTACTTGCCCCGCGGCACGTGGGATCTTAGTTCCCCCATGGCATGTGGGATCTTAGTTCCCCGACCAGGGATCCAACCCATGTCCCCTGCATTGGAAGGCGGATTCTTAACCACTGGACCACCAGGGAAGTCCTGACTTCAATACTTGAATTTAACAGTAATTTGAAAACTTTATTGTATCTTAGGGAAGGAAAATATTTATATGAGTCTTAATACTCGAGATATCATAATATGTGAGATACTCCTCTTATACATAAAATGTATACTTCCTTTTCCAAGGATGAATTAGGAAAGAAAATATTTATATGAGTCTTAATACTCGAGATATCATAATATGTGAGATACTCCTCTTATACATAAAATGTATACTTCCTTTTCCAAGGATGAATTAGAACTGCAACAGGAGGAAGAGAACTTGCCATATGAAGAAGAGATTTACAAAGATTCTAGTACTTTTCTTAAGGTAAAAAAAATAATTTTCAGGTCCATAACTCTTCACATTTCAGCTCTCTGCCTGAAAAGATTTTAAATACTATTTGTTTTCAAGATTTTTTCAGTTATTGAGGGATCATTATTATAAAATAAAGGTCATTTAAAATTATGCATGAAATATTCTTCTGATGCTTGCCCATTTAGGATGAGATAATGCTTTATTAATGTCTGTAGATACTGAATTGTAATACTATTATTTTAATAGTGATGTTTTCTGTTTTTTTAATGTCAATTAACTTATATTTTGTATGGCCTCATAATAAAAAATAAAGTACAGAGTTAGTGTATCTGCCCTCAGAGCGAATGCTATTAATTTAATTTTGACGTTTTCTTTAGGGAACACAGAGTTTAAATCCCCATAATGATTACTGCCAACATTTTGTAGACACTGGACATAGACCTCAAAATTTCATCAGAGATGTAGGTATGTCAGATTTGTTGGGAATATGGTATTGCTAGCTGTTGATTACATGCATGTAATTTATCCATTTTGTGGTTTATTTCTAACAATTATTTTTCCTGGCTTGGCTTCCCCTTTCCATTCTTAGTACTTCTAGTACACTCTTTTTCCATCAAGCAGCGTTACTTTTTTCCTTCTTCCTTCCATCTTTCCTTCATTTTGGTTCTGTAACTATCCCTCATTTTTATTTTGCCTTCATTTATTCCTTTGATGCTCTTCCTTTCTTTATGTAAATCTGATTCTCTGACTTATATTATTTTCCTTTTGTCTAAAGAATTTCTTTTAACATTTCTTGCAAGGCAGGCCTATTGGCAACAAATTCCCTCAATTTTTGTTTGCCTGAGAAAGTCTTTATTTTTCCTTTACTTTTGAAAGATTAATTTTGCAAAGTACAGAATTCTAGATTGGTGTTTTCTTTCTTTCAACACTTGAAGTATTTTACTTCACCCTGTTCTTGCTTGTTTCTGAGAAGTTGGGTATAATTCTTAACTTTGTTCCTCAATAGGTTTTTTTTTTTTTTTTCTGGTTTCGTTCAGACTTTTTTCGTTAGGTTTGATTTTCTATAGTTTGAAAATGATATGTGTAGGTATAGCTGGGTTTTGTTTGCTTTGGGGTTTTTTTGCATTTATCCTCTTTGGTACTCTATGAGCTTCCTGTGTCTGGGGTTTGATGTCTGACATTATTTTGGGAAAATTCTCAGTCATTATTATTTCAAATATTTCTTCTGTTCCTCTTTCTGTTTTTTCTCCTTCTTATATTTCCATTACACATTTTACCTTTTGTAGTTGTCCCACATTCCTTAGATGGTCTGGCTTTTTTTTTTTTCCCCAATTTTGTTCTATTTACTTTTCAGTTTTTGAGGTTTCTATTGAGATATCGTCAAGCTCAGAATCTTTTCTTAGTTGTGTCCAGTCTACCGATAAGCTTACCAAAGGCATTATCCCTACATTTTTAAAAACAGCTTGACTGAGAGAATTCATGTACCATACAGTGCACCCATTTAAAGAATATAATTGAGTTTTTTAAGAATATCTATAGATTTGTGCAACCATTGCCACAATCTGATTTTAGAACTGTTTTTAAAAATTGAGGTATCGTCGATTTACAATATTATATAAGTTATAGGTGTACAAATAGCGGTTTACAATTTTTAAAGATTATATTTCATTTATAGTTATTATAAAATATTGGCTGTATTTTCTCTGCTGTACAATATATCCTTGTAGCTTATTTATTATATGCATAGAAGTTTGTACTTCTTAACCCCCTCCCCCTATTTTGCTCTCCCCACTTCCCTCTTCCCCTGGTAACCACTAGTTTGTTCTCTTTATCTGTGAGTCTGTTTCTTTTTTGTTATATTCACTAGTTTTATTTTTTAGATTCCACGTATAAATGATAATATACAGTATTTGTCTTTCTCTGTCTGATGTATTTCACTAAGCATAATACCCTCCAATCCATCCATGTTGTTGCAAAAGGCAAAATTTCACTTTTTTTATGGCTGAGTAATGTGTGTGTGTGTGTGTATACCACATTGTGTGTGTGTGTGTGTGTGTGTGTGTGTGTGTGTGTATGGCACATTGTCTTTATCCATTTACCTTTGCTGGACGCTTAGGTTGCTTCCATTTCTTGGCTATTGTAAATAATGCTGCTAAGAACACTGGGGTGTGTGTATCTTTATGAATTAGTGTTTTCATTTTCTTCAGATATATACCCAAAAATGGAGTTGCTGGATCATGTGGTAGTTCTATTTTTAGATTTTTGAGAAACCTCCATACTGTTTTCCACAGTGGCTGCACGATTTACATTCCTACCAACAGTGTACAAGTCCCCTTTCTCCACATCCTTAGAACATTTTCATCTCCCCTAAAGAAATTCAGTACTCATTAGCAGTCAATTCCCATTCCTTCTCCCACAGTTGCCCCCCAGCCTTAAGTAATCATTAATTGACTGTTGTCTATCAATTTGCCTATTCTAGACATTTCATATAATTGCACTCATACAATATGTGATATTTTGTGACTGGGCTTTTTTCACTTAATGTTTTCAGGGGCCATTGATGTTGCAGCATATTATCAGTACTTCATTTCTTTTTATTGCCAAATATTCCATTGTATGTACATACCACATTTCATTTATTTATTCATTTGTGTTGTTTCCACTTTTTGATTGTTATGAACTCTGCTGCTCTGAATATTCATGTAACGTTTTTGTGTGAATGTATGCTTTCATTTCTCTTCGGTATATACCTGGGAGTGGAATTGCTGTGTCATGTGGTAATTCTATGTTTAACTTTTTGAGGAACTGCCCAAATGTTTTTCAGAGCAGTTGCACCATTTACATTCCTACCAACAATCCATGAGGCTTCCAGTTTCTTACCACCCTTGACATTTTAGTATCTGTCTGTTTAATTATAGCAATCCTAGTGGTATGAAGTAGTATTTCATTGTGGTTTTGATCTACATTTCCCTAGTGACTAATGATGTTAAGAATCTTTTCCTATGCTTATTTTTCCACTTAAATACCTACTTTAGAGAGATGCCTAAACCTTGCTTATTTTTTAACTGGTAATTTGTCTTTTTATTATTACATTGTAAGAGTTCTTTATATATTCTCAGTACAAGATGTATGATCTGCAAATATTTTCTCCCATTCTGTGGGTTGTCTTTCTTTTGGCCACATTGCGGCTTGCAGGATCTTAGTTCCCCGACCAGGGATTGAACCCACGCCCTTGGCAGTGAGAGCGCAGAGTCCTAACCACTGGACCGCCAGGGAATTCCCGTCTTTTCACTTTCTTGTTGGTACCATTTACAACACAAAAATTTAATTTTGATGTAATCCAATTTATTTTTTCCTTTCTTGTTTGTAAGCAACATGTAGAAACTGATTTTAATGTTTTCACAGGCAAAATTTAGATGTAGCACAAAAAGTTATGATAATGGTAAGTGAAATAGGCCAGTCACAGGATGCAAATATGCATGCACTTACAAAGGTACCTAAAATAGTATGTGTATATAAATACATACACTTTTATGAGGTACCTGGAGTAGTCAGTCTCATAGAAGCAGAGAATGCAGGAGTGATTGTCAGGGGCTAGAGAGAGAGGAAAATGGGGAGTTGTTGTTCAGTTGTTATAAAATTTCAGTTATGCAAGATAAATTTTTTCTGTAGATCTGCTGTATAGCAAATTGTCTGTAGTCAGCAATACTGTTGACTATAGTCAGCAATACTTAAAAAAATTTAAGAGGGTAGATTTCATCTTACTTAAGTCTTCTTACCACACACACATACACATGCACACACACTAAAACCAGAGGAACACAAAGAAACTTTTGGAGGTTATTGATATGTCTTGATTGTGGTGATGATTTCATAGGTATATGTTCAAACTCATCGAATTTCATACATTAAATATAGGTTTAATATATAAGGATTTTATTTATCAATTATACTTCAAAAAGCTGTTTTTCTCCTCAAAGTTATGATAAGTTATATTGATATAACCAAATTTCATTATCAGACTTTCTGCTTTTAAGATACTTATTTCTCCAAGGCAAAGAAAATGTACTTAGGAAACTATTATGGATTGAGAAAAAGGTGTACCTCTTTTGTAGATGATTGAGAGCTGACTCTGCTGTGATTGAAACCTGACTGTACTAAAATCTTCAAACTTGTTTCATTTGAAATTTGATCTGTAACCACTGATTGAGGAGGCTTTACAAAATCTTTCACTTTTTTACTCTTTGATATTAAAGTTATTAAAATGTACTTCTGGTTTTCAACTTAAGATGTTTATATAATTTATATTGTTATGAATATGCTTCTTGTAGGGAAGGAAGAAAAACAAAATAAAAACTTTTAGGAATCTTTGATATTGAAAGCCCTACATACTCCTACAGTTGTTTAAACAGTTATTATATTGTTTTACCTAAAATCTCTTCTGAGGCTCAAAGATTTAAATTTTTTTTTTTAACATCTTCATTGGGGTATAATTGCTTTACAGTGGTGTGTTAGTTTCTGCTTTATAACAAAGTGAATCACTTATACATATGTTCCCATATCTCTTCCCTCTTGCGTCTTCCTCCCTCCCACCCTCTTTATCCCCACCCCTCCAGGCGGTCACAAAGCACCGAGCTGATCTCCCTGTGTGCTATGCGGCTGCTTCCCACTAGCTATCTACCTTACGTTTGTTAGTGTCTATATGTCCATGCCTCTCTCTCGCTTTGTCACAGCTCACCCTTCCCCCTCCCCATATCCTTAAGTCCGTTCTCCAGTAGGTCTGTGTCTTTATTCCTGTCTTACCCTAGGTTCTTCATGACATTTTTTTTTCTTAAATTCCATATATATATATGTTAGCATACGGTATTTGTCTTTCTCTTTCTGACTTACTTCACTCTGTATGACAGACTCTAGATCTATCCACCTCATTACAAATAGCTCAATTTCGTTTCTTTTTATGGCTGAGTAATATTCCATTGTATATATGTGCCACATCTTCTTTATCCATTCATCCGACGATGGGCACTTAGGTTGTTTCCATCTCCGGGCTATTGTAAATAGAGCTGCAATGAACATTTTGGTACATGACTCTTTTTGAATTCTGGTTTTCTCAGGGTATATGCCCAGTAGTGGGATTGCTGGGTCATATGGTAGTTCTATTTGTAGTTTTTTAAGGAACCTCCATACTGTTCTCCATAGTGGCTGTACCAATTCACATTCCCACCAGCAGTGCAAGAGTGTTCCCTTTTCTCCACACCCTCTCCAGCATTTATTGTTTCTAGATTTTTTGATGATGGCCATTCTGACTGGTGTGAGATGATATCTCATTGTAGTTTTGATTTGCATTTCTCTAATGATTAATGATGTTGAGCATTCTTTCATGTGTTTGTTGGCAGTCTGTATATCTTCTTTGGAGAAATGTCTATTTAGGTCTTCTGCCCATTTTTGGATTGGGTTGTTTATTT